CCCCCCCCTTGGAATTTCTTCTCATTTCCAGCGTTGCTATTTAGAAGGCCAATGCCATTCTGAACCACTGTGGAAAATCAACTATCCAAATATGCCTGAGTCTATTTCTAGATGCGCAACTCTGTTGCAATGATCTCTTTACCTTTATGACAATACCAGCCTGCCCTGACTACTGTAGTTTAAAAATACACACTTGAAACTACATAGTATAAGCCTTGCCACTTTTTCCTTTTTCAAAGTTGTTTGGCTATTCTAGGTCCTTTGCAATTCCATGCAAATTTTACTTAAGTTTTTAAATGTCTATTTAAAAATTTTTTAAAATGTTTTATTTTAGGGGCGCCTGGGTGGCTCAGTCGGTTGAGCGTCCAACTTCGGCTCAGGTCATGAACTCAGTCTGTGAGTTTGAGCCCCGCGTCAGGTTCTGTGTTGACAGCTCGGAGCCTGGAGCCTGCTCTAAATTCTGTCTTCCTCTCCCTCTACCCCTCCCCCATGCTCGCACTCTGTCTCTCTCTCAAAAATAATGGAATAATCATTTAAAAAAAATGTTTTATTTTTGAGAGAGAGAGAGCAAGCAGGGGAGATGCAGAGATAGAGGGAGACAGAGGATCTGGAGTGGGCTCCGTGCTGACAGCATAGAGCCCGATGTGGGGCTCAAACTCACCAACCGTGAGATCACGCCCTAAGTCAAGTGGGACACTCAACCAACCGAGCCACCCAGGCGCCCCTATTTATTTTTTATTTTTGAGAGACAGCACAGTGCACATGCGTGTGAGTGGGGTAGGGGCAGACAGAAAGGGAGAGAGAGAATCCCAAGCAGGTTCCCAGCTATCAGCCAGAGCCTGACACAGAGCCTGATCTCAAAACCATGGCATCATGACCGGAGACAAAATCAAGAGCCAGAGGCTTAACCATCTGAGCCACCTAGGCATTCCTGTGTGCAAATTTTAGGACGAGCCTGATAATTTCTACAGAAAATCCTCCTCAGATTTTGATTGGAATTGCACTGAATCTACAGATCAATTCAGGGAGAACTGATTTCTTAACAATATTGAATCTTTTAATTGATGAAAAACAGCAAATCTCTCCATTCATTTAGGACTTCTTTAACTTCTCTCAGCAATATTTCAGTTACCAGTGTATAGATGTCACTGCTTCTGTCAGATTTCTGCCTCAGTATTTAAAAATTTCTGTTGCAATTGCAATAGTACAACTTCTTATTTATTTATTATATAACTCCAGGCATTGGTGGCTTTAATGGCAAAGCCAGTTAGTGAAGGAGTGTTCTTACAATGCAAGATACTAGCACTTACTGAACTTTGAAAAGGTTTTCTGGTTAACTGTGATAGTATGTTTTACCAGTGAAAAATACTCTTTCTCTCCTGCCAAGGCACCTTTATGTAAAAGCACTTAGTCAGAGGTCACATTTTTTTTTTTAAAGTAAACTCTATCCCCAACATGGGGCTCAAACTTGTGACCCCAAGATCAAGAGTCACATGTTCTAGTGACTGAGCCAGCCAGGTACCCCACAAATGGTACAGCTTTTTAAATTTGGTTTTCAACTGTTCATTGACAGCACAGAGAAACCCTGATATAGAGCTTATACCTGGAACTTTACAATGTCTACTTTTTAGTTCCAGTGACAGCTTTGTAGCTATTACAGGATTTCATATTAAAATTCAATCATGTTTTTGGTGAATAAAGGTTTACTTCTTTCTCATTCTGACATCCTTTCATCTCTTTTTCTTATCTTACCCCACTGGCTACAACCTCTAGTACACTGTTGGTCTTAAAGGAAAAACATTCTTTTTTTTTCACAATTAAGTTTGACACTAGTGTAAGTTTTTCAAAGATGCTCTTTTTATCAGGTTAAGGGCATTTCCTTCTATTCCAAGTTTGCTGAATATTTTTATCAGAAACAAATATTATATTCTGTCAAATGCTTCTTCTGTAACTACTGAGATGAGCATGTTTTATCTTTCTTATTTTGTTAATATAATAAATTACATGGACTGATTCCCAAATGTTGCACCAACCCTGCATTCCTGAAATGATATCCACCTGGACAGTATGTACTATTACGCTTTTCATATACTGTGAGATTCTAATTGCTAAAATCTTGCTAAGATTTTCCATCTATGTTAATGAGAAACATTGGTATGTCGCTTTCTTTTTTGTGATATCTTTGGTTGGGGCATCGGAGTAACGCTGGTCTCATAAAATAAGTTGGGAAGTATTCCTTCTCATTCAATTTTCTGGAAGATTATGTAGAAATGTTGACATTTCTTCCTAATGTTTGGTAGAATTCACCAATGGAGCCATCTGGGTCTGACATTTTCTTTGTGGACAGTTAATAACTACAAACTAAATTTTCCTAAGAGATAGTGTTTTTAGGTTACCCATTTCTTCTTGAATGAATTTTGAAAATTTGTGTTTTTCAAGAAATTTACCCACTTTATCTAACATGTTGAATTTGTTACCTATCATTTTTAGTATCTGTAAAAATGCCACCTCTTAGGGCTCCTGGGTAACTCAGTCGGCTGAGCATCTCTTGGTCTCAACCCAGGTCATGATCTCATGGTTCATGGGATCGAGCCCTGCATCCAGCTCTGCACAGACAGTGCAGAACCTACTTGGGATTCTCTCTCTCTGCCCTTCCCCCCTACTTGCTCTCTGAGTAAATAAACATTAAAAAAAATTGTTTTTAAATGCCACCTCTTTCTTTCTCAATGTTGGTAATTTGTGTCTTCTCTCCCCACCCTACTCACCATTATGTCTGCCTAGAGGTTTATTCATTTAATTGATATTCTCAGTAAGTCAGCTTGTGGTTTCACTGATTTTTCTATTTTATTGATCTCCACTTTAATTTTTGTTACTTCTTTTCTTCTACTACTTTGGATCTCACTCACTCTTCCCTTCTAGTTTATTAAGACAGCTTTGCTTAAGTCGTTGATTTGAAATCTTTTTCTTTTCTCATATGGGTGTTTAGTGGCATAAATTTTCCTCTAAGTATTATCTTAGCAGCATCATACAGATACTGATGCTTTGAATTTTCATTCTGTTTAATATACTTCCTAAATATCTTTTGAGTTCTTTATTTAGAAGTGGGTTTTTTTGTTATTTTACTTTTGAAATATTTCCAGAAATTTCTCTGTTACTGATTTTTAATTTAATTATATTGTGGGCACAGAATATACTTCATGTGATTTAAATTCTTCTGAATTGTTAGGTTTTAAAAATCTCCCTAGAATATGATCTCAGGATGTGTTCTGTGTTCACTTAGAAAAGAATATGTATTCTGCTGGGTGGAGTGTTCTATAAATGTCAGCTGGTCAAGGTGATTGAT